TTAACACATAATTATCACTTTGAGCGAGTGGCCTAATTCTTCCATACGACAGGTTGTCATGTACAACACATGCATGCATTCTTATTTAAAATCCAGAAATAAATTTTAAAAAATCTGTTGAAGTCAGTTGGGTTTTGCATGAATTTGTTAATATGCTACATATTAAAACAAAATTAATTTTAAAAAAATCAATACATAAATAGCACATCACAAAGAAGTATAGTTTTTATTAGAAAATGATATGAACTACGGTCAAAATATTTTTAAAGGCGTATGCTACAATTACATATAGCAGGGTTTTTTATTTAAAAAAAAAATTTGCACGATTTGAAAATATGACAAGAATTTGTAACAAGTAACTAACATCCGCCGCCTAAGGGAAGTTTTACATGAAGCAAAAAAATTGTGCTATTTCAAAAGATTGAGGTAGGGATCTGGACTTTAATTGCAATTTTTCAAAACTTTTTTTTTATCAATGCTAGATCTGCAGATGCCAGTAACGATAAATTTATTAAAATATAATGAAATAACTCCTTTGTATGTGTCAATAGATATACATTTGTATACTTGTTATCACTATTTTAAAGCCACAACATGTGACAAATACAAAATCAATACAGGATATGGTCAGTAACAGGGTATATTTCGCGTTCAGTCATCAATCAAGGTATGTGGGCAATTGACCAATGAGACTTCGACCTCCAAGTGTGACCTTGGCCTTTGAGGAAGGGATCTAGGTGTTGCGCATGACATGTCGTCTTATCATTGTTAACATTTGTGCCAAATTATTTTAAAATCCCTTGATTGATGAAAACGTTATATACCGCACATAAAGTATACACTAGAACAGACCATGTTAAGCTTTTGCAATCAAGTGTGACCTTGACGTTGAATGTCAGAATATGGCTGTTGCATATGACACATAGCCCCATTATTGTAAACATTTGTGCCAAGTAATTTCAAATTCCCTTGAACTATATAAAGAATTTTGAACTGCACACTCAATATACCCTATTGAAGACCATTTTAAGTTTGGACCTCTAAGCGTGGCCTTGATCTTGGAGATAAGAGTCCGGGCGTTGTGCATGACACATGTTATTATTATTGTCAACATATACAATTTAAAATTTGCTAAGGATCACCTTTTGACATTGCATATTTCAGTCCTATCATCATCATATTATAATTATATTTCCACTGACGATACATCTGTACGGGGACCTAATAATCGTGTACTTATCGATTTGTCATGTACACCTAGCACGATAAGCATGTGGAAAAGCATATCCATGGAAATTTGGTGTTTTATGGCTATGTGCTTTCTCATAAACGTGTACAAGCAGCAAGACTTCTCGTGTTACATTGTAAAACTGTGTTTGAAATTAACAAACTATGGCAAGTCGACAGGTTAGACGTCGTCTTAGTGAAGGTAAGATGAACAGGGGTATTGGAATGTTGGAGGCTGGCCGTTCACATAGGCATGTTTTCCATGTCCTTGGGGTATCCCAGAGCGTTGTCTCCAGGATTTGGAACCGACTGAAAATGTCTTGCGTGGCCACGCTGGAGGCCGGGGACGTTCAACGACTCAAGCCCAGGACCGATTTATTTACCTTCACGCCAGGCGCCAGCGGTTCTCAAACGCTAAGACCTTACGTAACGACTTCCAGAATGCAACTGATGTGCGTGTAAGCACACAAACTGTTAGAAACAGGTTAGCATGGTCACGGAGGCCAGCAATTCGCATTCCTTTGACACAACGCCATATTCAAGAGCGTTTGCAATGGGCACAGACTCATGTCACATGGGAAGTTAATGATTGGACCCCTGTCCTCTTCACTGATGAGTCAAGGTTTTGTGTGCACTTCACGTACAGACGGGCCAGGGTTTGGAGAAGTCCAAATGAACGCTTAGCTCCAGCATGCGTTGCAGAACACGACCGTTTTGGCGGGGGTTCAGTCATGGTGTTGGCGGGAATAAGCGCTCAGGGGAAAACGGACCTACATATCATTGAAAACGATACACTGACATCAGTAAGGTACGTCAATGAAATCTTAAACGTCCATGTTCGCACGTACGCTGGCGCAGTCGGCCCTGATTTCAATCTTATGGAATACAATGCCCGTGCACACAGAGCCAACATCACAAATCGATATCTTGCGGAGGCAACTATAGTCCGCATGGATTGGCCAGCGAGGTCCCCAGATTTAAATCCAATTGAGCATGCTTGGAATATGCTGCAGAAAGCATTTCTTCACGCGTCGTCCAGCCAACAACAGTTCAGAAGACATAGAGGAATGGACACAGATTCCTCATCACAAGGTCCGCAGGCTCATCAGCAGCATGCGGCGGCGATGCCAGGCCGTAATTAATGCCCGCGGACACCATACTCGGTATTAAACACCCTACTCCAACCATTTTCTGACTTGCATGATTTTTTTATTCCACTATGTGATCTCCAAATTGTTGATTTTCGTCCAGCACACTCTTATCACAACAGGCTCACGTCCAAAAACACTCCATTGTCGTTATTTTCATAAAAATCAATTCCTAACTAATTAAATTGAATTCCTTTTAATCAATTTTCACATTGTTTACAAATACACAAAAGTAACGCACTGTAGAAAAAGTGATCCTTCGCAAATTTTGAGTAGTATATATGCCAAGTATTTTCAAATTCCCTTGATGAATGAGAAAGTTATGCACTGGAAACAAAATATACCCTATACCAGACTATGTGTATATTTGACCTGTGCCTTGACCTTGGAGGTGAGCGGCTGGTTTTGGCATATGACACATCATCTTATTATTGTGCCATACAATTTCAAAATCCCTTGATCTATGAAGAAGTTATGGACCTGACACAAAATATTCCTGTAACAGACTATGTTAATCTTTGACCTCCAACTGTGACCTTGACCTTGGAGGTAGGTGACTGCTTTTTGCGCATGACATATCGTCTTATTGTTGTGAAGTATTTTTAAAATCTCTTTATAGATAAGAAAGATATGAACGGACACGACATATACCCTCAAATAGACTAGGTTCACCTTTAATCACCAAGTGTGACGTTGACCTTGGAGTTAGGGGTCTGGTTGTTATGCATGACATATCGTCTTATTTTAACAAACATTTGTGCCAAGTTATTTCAAATTCCTTTGATAAATGAACCGGACATGATAATGTGACGGACGGGCAGACGGACGGACAGACGGACGGTGCCTATTTCTATATCCCGCGCCTTTTCGAAGAAAAAAGGGGGACATAATCAAATTTCACGCCATTGAAGCGTTGGGTTGGATACTTGTGTATACTTATTTCAAAGGTTTGTAGTTGTAATGTTTGTTTATTCGAAAAGCATCCGGAAAACGGCGCTATAGACATTTGTCAGCATTTTGTCAACAGTTCGGGAAGTCTTCTACAGAAACATTTATATGGTATAAGAAACCCCACACATGTACCTATTAAGTCAAAAAAAAAGTTTGACACATACATTTTTGGATAGTTGGACACGAATAAGCCGAAAGCGTTCGATAAGGTTTACCACCACATTGCAATGGGTCAAATCATTCCAGTCCGTTGTAATAAATGGGGAAACGTTAGATGAGGTCCCTGTAATATCTGGCGCCCCAAAGGCTCTGTTTTAGGTCCCCTTCTCTTTCTGTTATCTATAAATGACCTGCCTGAAAATTTAGTTTCACAGGTCCGTTTATTTGCCGATGACACTGCTGTTTATATAGCTGTCAATTACAATTCACAAGAAAGGATCTTACATCATGTACATCGAGACCGTGACAGGTTCCAGCTATGAAAAAACAAATTGAACATGCAGTTCAACCCCTCTGAGTGTACGATGCTAGATATAACCAAGTCAAAACACCCATTCAAGTCATGGTGAAGTCATAAAAAAAATGTCAATGACGCGAAGTACTTGGGTGTTACTTCTTTTTCTGATCTGAACTGTAACAAACATGCCATTCAGGTTACCTATAAGGCTAGTAAGATATTAACTTTCTTAAAAGAAATATCACTTCTAAAGATTCAAGCGTAAGGGAATATGCATACAAAACTCTGGTCAGCTCGAACTGGTGTCCTTACACTCAGCAGAACATCCACGCAGTTAAAATGGTCAAGCGCAGACCTGCGTAATTGGTTACTAAGGACTTTTCTACATACAGCAGTGTCTCCCTTATGTTAGATAAGTAAGGTTGGCGTTCCCTAGAAAAAAGGAGAACTGATGCTATAGACTCCTAACGTTTTACAAAATTGTGCATGAACTGGTTGCAGTGCCCATACATGTTCAGCCCTCCCTCCGTCACAACCGACATCGCACCCTTTTTTTTTCAGGCAGATTCCACTCCATGTAACTACTACAAATATTCCTTTTTTTAGCAACTTTAGTCCTCTGGAACTCTCTTCCATATGGCCTTGTGCAGGTCCCGACCTTGGACAAATTTAAACAGGAGTGACCACTCTTTCCCGCCGTGTTTAAAATATAAATATTGTTTTTATCTGTTTTAGCTGTACACTTTCTCTTTTAAACTAACACTGTCAACTTGTTATTTCAACTTTCACAAATACATGTACAGTTTTTTTATTCTCCTTAACATTTCTTCTTTTAGACTCTCGCTCAGACACGTACTTGCATATAATACTCTAAAAGGAGGGTGTTGCAGTATAGATAGATATAGGCCGTTGGCGGGATAGAAAATGTTTTTAGAACAGAAAACAAATGCTTGAAATGAATAATACTCTTTTAGTCTTAACCGTCTTGTCAGCTCAATAAGAAGAGCTTTGGTCTGTGAATAGGGTTACCGGGTTTGATTCTCGGACGATGCAGGTCACAGTCGTTGTGATTGATATTAAAATCCTGTGTACGGTACTGTCGTATTCCGGAAGGTGAAATAGGAACACCACCATCACTACTACTTCAAAGGAAACATCAATATAATTACAAATCTAGGAAAAGTTACGTGGTAAAAACAGACTAAGTACTACAGTGAAGAAAGTTTATTTTCGTACAAATATTTGTTTTGTCACTCATCTAGTTGAATGATTACATCTTTGATTTAAATACATGATATAAAATAATGCTAAAATAGTAAAAATGGTTCATGCCTTCCATTTTCAGATGATTTAGTCGATTTTCTTTTCAATCAAATATTAGTTGAAGTCCACTATTGATGGAACAAGAACATACCCAACGAGATCAAAGGCATAAAATTAAATACAACTTTAAGGTATGACCCCCCATAATGGGTGCTATAATGAACTGAAAATTGACAACATAAGTCAGTAATATGCCTAAACGGACATCTGTATGCAACCAACAAAATTAACCATACGATTTACGAGTTATCGGCATATTTTTTAAACTAAAACTTTGAAGGCTTCCTTTTTAGAAATGAGGAAACTTTGATTAATCTGTAATATCATCATTATAAAAAAAAATGTTTCCTATCACATTGTAAAGAAACAAATAATTGCATTTAAATTACAAAAGCAAAATGACCGTTTCCACTAAACTGTCTGAAATACAATGTATGTATAAAAATGTTACCCTACCCCCACCAGCTATTTAATATTTCCATTCTAAGAGAGCCTTATTCAAAACATCCTTAACAAAAATGAGGGGCTGTTTTCAAAGTTTTCTTAATTTTTTGTAAAATGTTATGGGTTTATCCTGTCAAATATTAAATACTTTTACAGAGAAGTTTTGATTTAAATAGACTTTGAAAATGTCCGGTACCATATTTAGAAGTATTGCACCAATAAATATCTATATTGATTAAGAATTAAAACCAAACACTTTTCTGTCCAAGAAAGATCTGAGAGGTACATAAATAAATGTTGAAAGACAGAAACACTTCAAAAATACACTTCTGAGGTTTGAATCCAAGTACCTCAGTTCCAATGCAGTTGGCAGTAGTTCTAGGTTATTTGAATACTTTTCAAAGATATTGCCTATAAGAGGGATCATTCCTGAAGTATTTTTCTACATCAACGCTATATGCTGTTATATTTTTTCTTGCAAATACGATATATTACATAATATGTAACACAATAATAAAGTGTTTTTATGGACGTGTTATAAACATTATTTAATCTGTGGCTTAATTACGTGTATTTCTGGATAATCATTCTTTTATATAGGGAGTACTAGTGTACAGCACAAAATGAAATTAAATTGACATTGTGCTCATTGTTATCATTGTAAAATTGAGCTGAATCGACTAATATACATGTATGTAATTTTAAAAGAATTTTTAAATTTTCAATTACAAAATGTATTTTAATGCAAGCATGACAACATGAGGTAATAATACAATTACATAATAAATTAGGCTTCAGAATCAGACAGTATCAATATAATATGATATTAATTGTTAACATAAATGTTGCGGGAAAGTCAGTATTGCAACAAATACTTCAATACAGTTCACCACAAAAAAAGAATTTATACAATTTTTGGCTCAATTGAACCTTAATATAATTTCTTTAATAAATAAAGAAATTTGTTTGTAATCTGGAAGGTTAACATCAGTGTTCATAAGAAGATCAATAGAATGCATATTGAGTTTCTTTAAATAGTTCAAAAACATTTTCTGCTGTTATCAAAACACGGACACTCAAAAATATAATAATGGATAATAACCAATGGATCTATCCCACAATGTACTGTTACGCCTGTTAAGTTCGATGCTTTTCCAACATCCGGTTTCTAGTGGCAAATTGTTATTTCTTGTTCTACATATTATCATATATTATAAAAGATTTTGATTGAGTTTTACAATCAATCAGTTAATAAAACCGAGCCTGCAACATTTTCAATTTCGCCGTATTGGGCTTTCTTTAGGGATTCTTATTTTCTCTTTTTTACAAGATATGTCTCAAAACAAAAATTATGTTTAAATAATCTTTATTACGTGCATTTACTAGAATTCTCAGTACCAGAATACCACACATTTAAAAATATTCTGATAAATTTTGTTTGACTGACATCGTTAACAATTTATGGTTATGAAATTCATTGTAATTCCATATGTTCTAAAGTCCACATTCATACAAAATATTCAGAACAAATTTTACCCACTAAAATCGTAATCTAAATACAGTCTGGGAGTTATTAAAGTTATTTTATAACATACGATATATCAAACACGGTAACTTGTTCTGTCGTGATTTGACTAAGTCAGACCGATATCATATTCTACATTTAATTTCAATAGATAGTGGTTTAACACCAGTTTCACCGAACATCATACAAGTTGGTGTATTTGACTTTTAACCTAGAATATATTTTAAAATTCAAGCTGTACTCTTTAAATACGATCAATATTACCAAAACCCCATATCTCACATCCGTATAGTAGGACAGGTTTTACAATTTTGTTTAATAATTGTTTTGCATGTCAATTGGTAATTCTACAATTTTATAAGGCTATACATAGCTTTGTACCCCTGTTTCACGATAGATGATTTTGCTTTGAAAAAGGAACCACTTTTACTATAAAGAATATCCAGATACTTATACTCTTCTACAATTTCGAAAAGTTCATTTCCATAAGTAAAATTATATGGCATGTGTCGTCCACTTTAAAAACCAAAACTTTAGTTTTTGTTGTATTGAGTGTGAGTTTCCAGGTATCACAATAGCTTTTATAAATATTTAAACCATGATGTAAGTCATCTTCTGTTACAGCAACAATTACTGTGTCATCTGCGTAAAACAAAAAGTACAGTTTTATATAGTTTAAAGCGGTATCTTCAAAATCGTAAATGTTACATGTTACACCGGAAACAATATTGTTACTAAAATATTCATATAAATCATTTCAATACAATGAAAACATAATCGGTGAAAGATTTTCACCTTGACGTACTCAAATTTCACATATGAAATAATCAGACATATTACCATTAACACATACACATATATGTTTTTATTGTGTTTTTAAATTTTCCATTGATATTATACGAGGGGTGTTCGGGAAGTTTAAGGACTTTTGCTGTATTATTTTCCTTAATGGTGCGTTTTTATCCATATTTCACAAAATGTAATTTAAATATGTGCTCAATATGTAGTATAACGCTCACTAACAAGAATAGACAAATACCTCTCGAAACTTGTTTCTATAGGAACCGCATAACGCATACCCGGAGCACTCCGATTTTATCGTATTTAAGTTAATGGTACCGATATATTTAATTTAGAATAACTTTCTTAAATTACAATGGATAACGTCAAGAAAAAGCTCGAGCGTTAAATACAACGTCAACGTCATTTCCTGAAAATTCTACTCGTAAATCGTTACAATTGTTTGAATTACAACGGTTTTAACATCACTGGTGCTTACACAAATCAAGAGAAAAATGACGTCAATAGGCGACGTTGAAGTCCGGGCAATCATCAAGTTTTGTGTAGGAATAGAAAAGACACCAACGGAGACGTATAAAATGATTCAAGCATCTAGTGCAACAAAGAAATGCTGTAGATCGCTAGTATTTAGATGGCACGACATGTCAATAGAGGATGACAAGCGATGCGGTCGACCATCTGTGGTGAAAACTTGAGTAAAAGACACTTTGATTCCGGGTTGGAATTACAAATTGAAACCCGGAGAATAGTTTCGTCATTCGACAACATCTGGTACGAGGACACGTACGACAAATGGGTCAAGAGGCATAGAAAATGTATCGCTGTGAATGGAGATTACGTCGAGAAGTGAGTCGATATGACGATCGGGGAAATTTGACGTTAAAATATTTAGCACTGACGTGACGTTAGCGTGCTCCGGTTATGCTTCGGTGTATGTTTTGTTTTATTTGTAATTTACTTATTGTTTAATGTATTTCATTGTAATTTTTACAGCTGGCTGTAAAAGAATTAAATATTTTATGGTGTTTTTCTTGTTTTTTAATCCCTATTATTTATCAAACTACAGCAAAAGTCCTTAAACTTCCCGAACACCCCTCGTATGATAATAATTGTGACCATAAACCTGGCCTTTAAACTTTGTCGAAGGCACATTTCAAATCGATAAAAGCACAAAACTATTTCTTTTTACTATTTCTGAGCAAATCGAGTATTCAATACAAACAGGTTATCAAAATTTGACTGTTATATGGAGATTGACGGAACAAAATTTAGGATAAATTATAAATATGTCCAAAATATAAAAAGACCGCCCACTCCATAAATTGGACATTACAGGTATATTCCGGTATTTTCATAAATTTCCTTGGGCAACGAAAGTTGTTTATCGTTCATGCGAAGTAAATTATAAAATTGAAAGGAATGTATGTTAACTTAACCCCCGTTTACTCGATAAGCATAATGTCACTATAAGAAACACATATTAACTGTGAATATCCCGTTGAATACCAGATGTGAAAGCCAATTTTGCAAATCCAAGGCAACGAGTCGGTGTGTAAACGAACCATACTGTATAGTTAGAATAAATAGACTTACGCTCTAACTAATCAACATAATGCTCGTTTCCGTCAAAGATTTGTATATATTTCAAATTGTTATGGTATCAAACCCATGGTTTCTTTTCAAAATCATCAATACATCTGTTCATGAACGGTGGTGGTTTACACCTTAGAAAAACTCACATTTAGAAATGAAAAAGGCTCTTAACCAATATATTTTAAAGCAGACAATACATTCTTAAGATAGTTATAATTTAAAGTATTCAAGTAGAATTCATACGGGACCATGCAAAGATAAGCAAAAAACTTGATATACCACAAACATAACAAGAATGTTTTGCTGAACGGTCTATTATCGAAATATTAAAATCACTGATAAATATCTATAGAAACTATTTACGGCTATTATTTGACTTTCCTCATAGCGGCGGCCCTTTTGACCTTTCTTGTTTTTCATATTGTTCTTTTTTGTCCTTCTCGTCTGATATTGTTCCTGTTGCGGTCCCTAGAATATTCATTTTACACTGTTAAAATTTCTAGTTAACACATACGTATTAACAGCTGAGAAGTATTTTTATATGAAAAATATATAATATCCTACAGTGGCCCTTAATCGCCCACTCAAACATTATGTGAACTTAAACATTTTTACTTGTTTGTGAATATTACCGTCTAAGGACAATTGTTATTGTGTTTTGATAACGTTTGTTGAGTTGTTTACAAGATGGTGACTGATATTTAAAGCTCGTTTTCTTTTCAGCCAAACTGGAAATTTGGAAATAGTTTAATTAATTTGTTATCATGTCAAAGTTTCAAGTTATCTGAATGTTGCGATTTAAAACAACAACATATTGTGGTGAAACCAGTAATTTTGCTTGAAAATGTCGTCAACCTAGAGGCGGGAAGTCCATAAAATCTTTTAGTTTTGTCAGTTTGTCGTAAAAAAATCAGAATAAACTCTAAAGATGATTAATTCAACCAAAAGAAAATATCAATTGAACAGGAAACATTTTTTAAAAATTAAAATGCCGGTTTTCTGAACATAAGGTCGTGTTAGAAAGGCAAAATATGGCGTGACAAAACACTGCACAGATGACTGACGATCATTTAAGGCAACAAACATCGGAAACCGACAAGCAATTCGGAAAATTGATGTCATTAAAAGCATAGTTGTAGTTGTCCTTAAAAAGCAAAAGGGTTAGCATTAGAGAGTTGACCCTTCCCACTATGTCTCAATAATAGTAAAAAGATGTGCATAAATTATGTTGTATTCGAAATACAATAAATGTTACTTATTAAAAATCAATATGATATAATTTGAAAAATAGAATTTGATTACAAAAAAAAACAAATACTGACAAAACTCAAACAAGAGGGCTGCACAAGTACAATAACAAAGTAACTCAACAATACCTTATTTAACCATTTGTCATTGCCATACAAATATTCTGTCTTGTCTTCATTCTCTTTCTTATCATTTGTCTTCCAATTAACCTTTAAATAGCACATAGAAAATATGGTATTATACTTCTTTTAAAAATGACTTTATCTTAATTAACATAGTTGTGTCAATCTAAGTTTTGGCGGAAAAATTATAGCGGTTATAGCAAAAGTCAAGCACCATTCAACATTTGACCTTCAATGTCAATGACATTGATGAGTAAATGTCAAAATCAAAGAAGTCTACCTAGAGGTTTTGTCTAAAGTATCATCGTGTCCAAGTATGAAGACACTCAATTCATAAATTAAATAATAAAGTTATTGTCAATTATAGCAAAGACATAAATGTCATTTATGAGTTTATGTCTAGTTTAGTAAACTTGAAGGTCTTGATCAAACGATTGTTTCGTCGAAGTCTGAAGTCCAGCCATTTTGAAATATAAAAATACGACAAAGTTTTCGGATGGCTATGGCAACGGAAACATCAACGATAACATAACAGTAACAATAGCTCTTTTTTTTTCTTCGAAAGAGTCGAGCTAAGAAAATGAATTTTAAAGTAAACTGGTTGAAAACTTTCACAACGTCTACTTTCATGCTACAAGTACAGTAAGTAACAAGGTAGATTTGGTTCAAATCAATTTTACTCATTTGACAAGCAATAGGGACGACACAATTGTTTAGATCAATCAAGTGATATTTATATTGTTTCGGGAAATAAAATGAAAGAGCCTATTTCAAATATTATTAAATCTTTTCACATAACGTTTATTGTTAAAAATTATATAGTTCTTCATAAATATGCCTGAAGTCCTTATCTTTGAAGTGAAGCTCGAACATTGAACATTATTCAGTTAATCATGTAAATTCCTAATAAATAAAAACCTTTGAAATATACCTCAGATTTTGAATGTTCCGATGAATCTATACTTGTCTTGTAATCAGTAGTTTCCTTCTCATAAGTATCCCAACTTCCCTTTAAGTATCACAAATAAAGAAATGCTATGTAAAGTAACTTCTTTTGTTAAAATATATAATCTGTTCAAGCCTATTTCAAATGTTATCAAATGTTTTCACACATAACGTTTATTGCTAATCTTTGATATAAAAATTATATAGTTCTTCATAAACAAGCAATTATCATAGCATTGCAAGCAATCCATAACTCCCCTACCGGTTAGAACCCCAGCAACATTCTGATGGGCCATTGGCCATTCAATTTTACCAGTGAATGAATGACATAAATGAACTTAAATCTTTTGAGTTCTAAGTTTGTCTATATCACAGTAATGTGTTAAGTTTCCTTGCCTAGTAAGGAAATTATGTTTATACAACCTTGTCATATTATTACGATGTGGGATTTTAAAGTAAATCCTATAAGGAATGAAGAAGTTGGAGTGAAACATACCAATTTCTCGAAAAAAAATCTAAGTTCAAGGGGGACATTATTCTGGAAATAGTCTTGCTAGAGTATTTAACCTTCTCAAAAATGTTGAGTGATAATAAGAAACATATATATGAGGTTTGAAGTAGAAACATTAGGAAATAAAGAAGTTATTTAAAAAAGACAACATTTTTTTTCATAAAAAATCTAAGTTCAAGGGAGGTAATACTGATAATTTTTGTTCTAGAGATGTAAACCTTGTCACATATGATGTGGTTGATGACCAGAAACTTATATTTAAAGTTTGAAGTAAACACCTTAAGAAATAAAGAACTTATAGTGAAAAAGCTGAAAAATTTAAATAAAAAATCTTGAAATTCAGGCTATTTGTTGCCATAGCAACCAGAATTTTCAACATAGGAAGAAAAGAAAAAGATGTGCATAATTTCCATACAGCCATCTATCCATATATCAAGTTTCATAAAAGTATTCTCAGTACTTTTTGCGTTATTGCGGGATCCAGTTTTGTGGACGAACGGACTGACGGACTGACAAACGGACGGACAGACGGACGGAGGGTAAACCTAAAGTCCCCTCCGGTTAAACCGGTAGGGGACTATTTAGCATGAAACCCTTATCTTTAACTTGAAGCTCGAAACATTTAGCATTATTCAGTTAATAATGTAATATATCTAATCATCTTTGAATGTAAAAATTCGATGAATCTACACTTTTCTTGTCATCAATTGTTTCCTTCTCATAAGTATTCCAATATGCCTTTAAGTATCACAAAAAAGATTTTTTAAGTAATGTTACTTCTTTTGTTGAATTTAATTGAAACACTCCTAACATATAAAACAAACCTTTTTGATATAATTATACCTTAGACCTTGAATGACCCAATGCATCTCCACTCATCTTGATTATCTGGCCTACATTCTTCAAAGAAACCTTCAAATAACATATAGAAAGAAAAATTATGTTATGTAACTTCATTTTATATATAAAACAAGTATATACAAATTGCATTGATAAAAAAGATGAACATTACAAGATGAAACTAAAGCTCCCCTGCCGGATTTGTGCTTTACCATAACAGTCGTTGTATTTAAGTAAAAACATTTCAGTTCTATAATAAAAGTGATTCAATGGCACATAAATAGTTAACAAGAGCCACCGCCGGGCGGGGGCAACGCTCGACTTTTTACTTTCTCTAAAAGCAAACAAAGAAATGTTTGAACAAAATCTTAACGTTTCCTTTTTATAAAATTAATCAAGTTTTGTCACATTAGTTTTGTCTATATATTTTGTATATATAGATACATGTATATTAACTTATATATATATAAATAGAGACACGCAATTCTATAAATAGAAAATTCTATAAATAGAAACACACAATTCTATAAATAGAAAATTCTATAAATAGATACACGTGGTGGAGACACGTGGTGGAGACACATGGTGGAGACGCGTGGTGAAGTCACGTGCTGAAGTCACGTGGTGAAGTCACATGGTGGAGTCACGTGGTGGAGTCACGTGGTTTGGGTCACGTGGTGGGGGTCACGTGGTGGTATCACGTGGTTTGAGTCACGTGGCGGAGTCACGTGGTGGAGTCACGTTGTGAAGTCACGTGGTGGAGTCACGCGGTGGAGTCAAGTGGTGGAGTCACGTGGTGGTGTCACGTGGTGGTGTCACATGGTGAAGTCACGATAAACAACAAGGTCTTGTCCTTAAGTATGTTCTGTTATAATATGAAGTTGATCCCTTCAATAATAGCAAAGTTACAGCCAGTTACAGCCAAAACAATGACAATTTCAATAATTTGAACTTCAAAGTCAAGGTCATTAATGAGTGAAGGTCAAGGTCTGTCGGGTTATTTTTAAGGGTTATCCTTGAAGATTATTATGTTCAAGTTTGAAGACAATCCATTCAAAAATAACAAAGTTACAGCCAATAACAGCATGAACATGCAAAATTTGGACTTTTAACCTTGAAGGTCAAGGTCATTTATGGATGAAGGTCAAGGTTAGTGTGGTCTACTGAAAGGTCTTGTCCCAAGGGTTGTTGTGGCCAAGTATGAAGAAAATATACTAAGAAATAAAAAAGTTATGATCCAGGTACAAGTTTGCGGACGGCAACGGCAACGCCGCCGCGACTATAACAATACGTCTACTTTTTTTTCAAAAAAAAAAAGTCGAGCTAAAATATGATCACATGGCAGATACATTACAAAATACTGGTGGGAAAGGAAAACGTCAGAACATACATATTTACAATATCAATTAAGAACTTTTTAAAATAAACATCTTTTATTTAATATTATGACGTAAAATCAACCTATATAACATATTCAGTTAAAGGCGATGCACCCTTTAATTTGTTTAACTGTATCTTTCAAAAAAATCAAACAGATCTACCTAAAGGTTTTTAAAGGATTGTGGTGTCCAAGAATGAAGACAATCCATTCTTAAGTAACAAAGTTATTGCCAATTATAGCAAAAAACAAAGCAAAATTCAAATTTGACCTTGAAGGTCAAGTTAAGTCAGGTCAACTTGAGTGTCTTGTCTAAAGGATTGTTCCGTCAAAGTATGAAGTTTATTCACTGGGAAATAAAAAATAATATGACCAACGTTAAGTTTTTCGGACGGCAATGGCAACGACAACGACTACATGACTGTAGCAACAACCTTTTTTGTTCGAAAGAATAACTTAAATAGTGAAGTGTATGTAAACTTTTAAAGCATTTCATTCCAACACGTTTTGAGTAAGGGCTAGGAGTACAGTAACAAAGTAGCTTTTTCTTCTTTGTCAGTGACAAACATTTTGCAAGTGCAACAGATCATTCATATTGTTGTAGAAAACACGCAAAATGTATTCGTATATGATGTCTTGTCCCAAGGAATGTGGTGCCTAAGGTTGAAGACAACCCAGTCATTACTTATAAAGTTATAGCCAATTCAATCTTCTGTAAAACATTGTCCGTCCGTAAGGTAGATGAGTATGAGTATGAGTATGAGGACAAACCATTCATAAATTACAAAGTAATAGCCTTATAGCAAAGATCAAGCTAAAGTCAATTATTTGACATTCAATACCAATGTCATTGATGAGTGAAGATCATAATCAAACAGGTCTACCTAAAGTTTTTTTTAAAGGATTGTGGTGTCCAAGAATGAAAACAATCCATTCTTAAGTAACAAAGTTATTGCCAATTATAGCAAAAAATCAAGCAAAATTCAACATTTGACCTTGAAGGTCAAGTTAAGTCAGGTCAACTTGAGGGTCTTGTCTTAAGGATTGTTCCGTCAAAGTATGAAGTTTATTCACTGGGAAATAAAAATAATATGACCAACGTTAAGTTTTTCGGACGGCAACGACTACATGACTGTAGCAACAACCTTTTTATGTTCGAAAGAATAACTTAAATAGTGAAGTGTATGTAAAATTTTAAAGCATTTCATTCCCACACGTTTTAAGTAAGGGCTAGGAGTACAGTAACAAAGTAGCTTTTTCCTCTTTGTCAGTGACAAACATTTTGCAAGTGCAACAGATCATTCATATTGTTGAAGAAAACACGCAAAATGTCTTCGTATATTATTACCTGTATTAATTAATGATCCTCGATCGCCTAAAATATGTACCATTTACTTCAAGTGAATATACTCATGTGACAAGTTAAAGAGACGATTAAAATATTTAGACCAAGCAAGAAATATTTACATCGTTTCAGGAAATAGAATAAACAGCCCATTTCAAATGTTATCTAATGTTTTCACACATAACGTTTATTGCTTATCTTTGATATTAAAAATTCTATAGTTCTTCATAAATTAGCCTGAAACCCTTATCTTTAACGTGAAGCTCGAAAGATTTAGCATTATTCAGTTAATAATGTAAATATCTAAGAAATAAAAGCCGTTTAAATATACCTCAGATTTTGAATGTTCCGATGAATCTACACTTTTCTTGTAATCAGTAGTTTCCTTCTCATAAGTATCCCAATTTCCCTTTAAGTATCACAAATAAAGAAATGTTATGTAATGTAACTTCTTTTGTTAAAATTACATAATCTTTGTATTTTTTAATAAAGGGATTTACAGAAGAGATAGTAATTTTTACTTTAATGAAGCACTCCTTACATATAAAACAAACCTTTTTGATATAATTATACCTTAGACTTTGAATGACCCCATGCATCTCCACTTATCTTACTTATCTGGGATATATTCTCTGCCTTATCAAATGCTTTCCTAGTAACCTTCAAAGAACACATAGAAAGAAAAAATATGTTATATAACTACATTTTACATATGAAACAAGTATATCAAAATTGCTTTGATGAAAAAGATGAACATTAAAAGATATCATGAAGAAAGCTTCCCTGTCGGATGCTTGTTTTACCTTTACAGCTGTTTAAATAAAAACTGTTATTTGTGTAAAGAATAATTTCAGTTCTATAATAAAATTGATGAATGGCACATAAATAGTTAAAAACATAATCACATTGCAGATTAATTTCACAATACTGGTGGAAAAGGAAAACGTCAAAACATACATATTTACAATATCGATTAAGAACATTTTAAAATAAATATTTTGATTATTATCTTATCATGAATTTTTTATGACAGATGCAGTTAAAGGCATGGCATCCAACAATTTGTTTCAAGAAATTGCAACAACCGTATCTTCTTTGAGGTCTTGACCAAAGGATGGTTGTGCCTATGTTAAAGACAATCCATTTATTATATTTTAAGTTAAAACCAATTATAGAAAACAAAAATATGAATTTACAATGATTTAAAAAGGGTCGGTAAGGTAGTTATGCTACAGTATGAGGACAAACCATTCATAAATTACAAAGTTATAGCCTTATTGGATAGCAGCAGCAATGGCAACAGCAACGTCAACAACAACAACATGATTGTAGCAATAGCTCTTTTTTCTTAAAATGGGGTTATGAAAAATTACTATAATAGTGATCTGAATGTAAATTTTCAAAGTATTTCATTCACATACGTTTTCTTTCACGCTACGAGTACAGTAACAAAGTAGCGTTTTCCATGTCAGTGACATGCAAATAACGTTTTCACATGTCAGTGACATGTAAACATTTTGCAAGTGAAATAAATTTAATTATATTGTTGAAGAAACCACGCAAAATGTCTTCGTGTAATATAAACTGTATCGATGATCCTCGATCTCATAAAAATATGTACCATTTGCTTTAAGTAAATATACCGATATATGAATTTATAGATACGTTTAGTTTATTAATAAGCAAGTGATTTTTACATTGATAAAGGAAGTTCGTCAAACATTATTAAATGTTTTGAAATTTCACTAATTAAACAAGGCAGTCTGAAGGACAGCTAAATCCACCTCTGCAGCGGACATGAATGTGTACTAATTGACCTTTAACCAACCATGACCGTGATGCTGTACCATGCATGTCTTAAGCACATAGTCTCATGATGGTGTTTATTTGTGCCAAAATCTAAAATCTTCCATAAAGTCAAAACCGTTATATGGAGAAAATATAACCTTGATCATGGAGGTAGCAACCTGGATGTAGCTTGGGGGTAGCAAACTGGATGTTGTGCTTGTGTCATGGTGGGGATCATTTGTGTCAAGTAATTAAAAAGATCTTTGAATTATCAATAAGTTATAGAGCGGACATGAAAACTAGATGTTTTAACATTGGATCTTTGAGTGTGACCTTGGCCTTGGGGTAGCAACCCAATCATTGCGCTCTGAACATCTTCTCATATTGGTGATCACTTTTGCTAAGTTATTTAAAAAAAATAATCAGTGGAGTAGACACAAAATGTAGACATTTTAACACATGACCGTTAAGCGTGACCTTGACCTTAGGATAGCAGCCAAATTATTGCACTCTGCAAATTGTCTCGTTATGGTGATCACTTGTGCCAGAGACGAAAGTGTTACAGACGGACATTAGGACGGACGGACGGACTGACACACGGATGTCATTCTTATAATCCCTTATCCGCAGATTAATGAATATGTAGCGTGTAATGTGATGTGTAGCAATAGATACTGAGCTTTATTCTGTTATTTACTGGCTCAAAAGGATGCGCTGGCCAGATATGTCACTCTGAACACATTTTATTTTTCTTTAACCTGTATGCATTTTCAGTGTTTCTTTTACCTTACAATTGTTGAAGTAAAAACTTATATTTTGCTTATGAACCTATCAAGTCTAGAATAAATCAATCTCATCATCAAATCAGATCATCGTATTCCCTCCGTAACTCTTCGTCTAATTGGCGAAGGGTAGTGGAGCGACAATTAAGATATGATTTTAATATGAGATTGAGAATAATTTGACGTATTGACTTATTGAAAGGTAATAAAACTACAGATCGATTTCAAAATATTGATGATACACGTCAGAAAATACATATTAATAATTTTTTGAATGAACAAGTTGGTGATGTTTTTATCATGAAGTTAACTCGTTTCAACAAATAACGCTTAAAGATTTCGAAATCACATTTATAGCACATAAAGCAGAGACATCCGAAAATTTGTTTCATGAGAGGGAAAAAACTGCAATAGAGAACTGATTGTAAAAATTAAAAGTATTTCAATCACATACATTTTCTTTCATATAAAGAGTAAGGGCTAGGCGTACAATAGCAATAGTAGCTTTACGTAACCAACAAGTACACTATTTTAGCCATTGTCAGTGACATTCAAACATTTTGCAAGTGCAAAAAATCCATTCTTTCTTGAAATCCGGTAAAATGTCTTTGTCCAATATAAATATCCCTTGCTTGAAGTGATATACCAATATGTCAATTTATAGAGACGATTACAAATTTTAAGAAAGTGATATTTTCATTTTTTAGGAAATTAACAAATTATTGAATGTTTTCACACATAATCGGTTATTGCTTGCCATTCACGTGTAGCTATATATACTGAGATTTGTTCTGTCAATCAAGTATACATTCCTTAAATATAAAACTTTTTAATGTATACCACATATCTTGAATTTCCCCATGCATCTCCACTCTCTTTGTCTACATTCTCTTCCTTATAATTAACCTTTCAATAGCGCACGAAAAGAATATAACGTCTTTGAAATAAGCTTAACATAGCACATAGAAAGAAATATTATTTAAAATAACTTCTTTTTTAATAATCACATAAATATTGCATATAGAAAAGATTAACATAAGCCCTGAAATAGCTCACCTGTATATAGACCCCTGGGCCAAGGCCAATTTTAAACCAGGGGCTTTTATTTGAACAAACTTGGTAGACACCCACTAGAAGATGTTTCATGCTTAATATTTAATCTCTAGCTCTTTCGGTTTTCTAAAAGAAGATATTTTAATTTTTTTCTTTCAGTTGCCATAGCAACCAGAGTTCTGCTTGGAATTAAATTATTTGAACAAGTCTTAAAGTTGACTACGAAAGACACATTCCTGTGAAGTTTGGATGGAATTGGCTTAGCAGTTTATAAGGAGATGTCGTTTAAAGTAAAGGTTTACGGACGGACGGACGGACGCCGGACGAAAAGTGATCACAAAAGCTCACCATGTCACTTTGTGACAGGTAAGCTAATAAAAACAAATGTTCCGCTGCTTGAGTGCAATACCTCAAAGTTCATTCTTTGAAACTGATTTTGAAGACGTGCTGGTCAGATATGTCACCCTGCAGATATTTTATGTTTCTTTATAAATGAAGGTGATTATATAGAGGATATTGAATGAGTGTAAGTTCCATATTGAATTTATTGCACGAGTTGAATAAAATTATATTATGCGAGACTCTGGCGAGCATAATATTATTTTATTTAACGAGTGCAATAAATTCAGTAATGAACTAAAACGAATTTAATATTCTATTTATCACATACCCAAAATAAAGACCGTTTAAAATGAAATAAAAGTCATTTTTCATTGACGCGCCTATAGTATAACGCTAACATTTAGCGCTCTTTACACTATGTTTGTATAACGCTAATGACGTCACGTCAAAATATATGCACGACCGTGCAATACCATATTTACGGAGTCGCAAAATCGGCACGGGTGTGTGATAAATAATTTTCTTTCATTGCATTTTGGATTTTTGTTTTAACATTGTTGATAAACAGCCAATTTCAAATATTATTTTATGTTTTCATTAATTAAATGTGTAGCGTTTACCTTTCACGCGTGAGTACATTCCTAACATACAAAACATGTTCATATATACCGGATATATCGAATGTCCCCATGCACCTCCACTCTTTTTTTCTTCTTTCTCTTTCTTATTATCAAGCTTTAAATAGAACATAGAAAGAAATATTAGGATACGTAACTTCTTTTTTATTAAACACATACACATAGCATTTTAACTTAGAAATATTAACATAAGAACATAAAAGAAATGCCTCACTACCAAAATGAAATGTCTTAAAGTTTACTCCTTATTAACTGACTTTAAAAGATGTGCTGATCAGATATGTCACTCTGAACATATTTTAATTTTCTTTATGAATGATTTACCTTTATGCAGTTTGAATGTTTATTTTAACATTACAGTGTTGAAATAATTGCGATTTTTAAATGCAACAGATCCATTCTTCTATGTTGAAACCCCGTAAATTGACTTAATATCAAGTGTTTCGATGTTACTCGATCTAAAACTAATAACTTATCCATTGCTTGAAGTGATATACCAATTTGTAAACTTATAGAAACGATAACAAAAATTTTAAGGCAGTGACATTTACATTATGTCAGGAACGTAATGAACAACTCATTACAAATGTTATTAAATGTTTTCACAAGTAACCGTTTATTGCTCACCTTTCACGTGAAGCTATAAATTGTTAATCAAGTATACATTCCTAAGATATAAAACCTTTTAATAAATACCGCATATCTAGAATTTCTCTGTGCATCTCCACTCTTCTTGTTTACATTCTCTTCCTTATAATCAGTCTTTGGAATACGCTTTCAATAGCACATTGAAAGAAATATTACGTCTTTGATAAGCTTTAGATAATGCTTAGAAAGAAATATTATGCAGTGTAAATTCTTTTTATATTAATCACATAATCGTTACATATAGAAAAGATTTATATATGATAAGATAAAAATACATGTTTCGGTGTTTAAAATCCGAATTCAAATAACAAAGTTATGGGCCGGACACGAATTGGGACGTACGTACGGACGGACTGACGGACGGACAACCCGACGACTATATGCACCCCCGAAATTTTTCGGGGAGCATAATAAATGCAGAATAAATGACCACTAGAGAAGGATTAATTTTGACTGGACAATTTTTTTTATAACTTTTATAACTTTTTTGAATGAAAACACAAAATGTCACATTCAAAACATGTAAGGTGTGGATATTTGAAGTTTACAGTTTGGGACAACAAATTTTTTATACATTCTGATGGTAACATAAATGTACCATAAAAAAGACAATAGGACATTGCAAAAAATATGAAAAGTAGGCCAGTTGATATCCAAATTCAATTCAGCATCCCCTAGTCCAAATTTCAAGTCTGTATGTCAAAAAAGCACAAGAATGAAGGTCAAATTACATCAAAAATATCAAAAGTAGGTCAGCTGATATCAAAATTCATTTCGGCATCAGAAATATTTACAAACCTGGTCCAAATTTAAAATCTGAATGTCGAAATACAAGAAAGTAGGTCAAATGGTGTCAATAATACCTACAGTATCAAAATTGAATTCAACATCAAAAATTACACAAATTGCACCCCTAGTCCAAATTAAGTCTTTACATAAAAGACAAAAAAAGTAGGTAAAGCGATATCAAATATATCAAAAGTAGGCCAGTTCATATCAAAATTCAATTCAGGATCAGAAATTAAACCCCTTGTCCAAATTTCCAGCAGGTACATCAAAAAACAACAAACTAGGTCAAACAATATCGAATAATAATATCAAAAGTAGTCAGTTGATATCTTAATTCAATTCGCATCAGAAATAACATTCCTGGTCCAAATTTCAAGTCTCTGTACATCATTCCAAATTTCAAGTATCTATACATCAAAAACAAGAAAGTATGTGCAATGGTTTCAAAAATATCAAAAACAGCTCAACTGATACCAAAATCAATTAAGCACACGAAACTCAGGTATGTCCCAAAATTTATTGAAATGTGCTTTCTCCAAGTTTAAATCCAATTCAACAAAAAAAATGAAAAAAATACAATTTTTAACAAAATTCAATAAAAACAAGATTGCATTTGTGAAAAATGCTATGCCACAGCATTAATAGAACACTAAATATTAATGTAGGAACACATTTTTTTTTGTTTCTATACAATGGCATCAATCACTGACCTATCTAATTGTTATTATCAGATTAGTGGTTATATCTATTGTTACTCAAATAAAAGATCAGAGTAGGAATCTATCAATGCAGTTGAGTCTAGTGAATTTGGTGGTGAAAGTCATATTTCACATGGCCTAAATTCCATGACTGTACATCAAAGGACAACACAGTATACTAAGTCAAAATCTAGGCCAGCTGATATCAAATTTCACTTTACATCTTAATCTGTGCACATGGTTCAAATTTCATAGCTGCACATTAAAGGACAAGAAAGTAGGTCACATCATCAAAATCTAATTCACCTGATATCAAAGTTCAATTTTACAACTAAAACTGTGCACATAGTTCAAATTTCATGGCTGTACATCAAAGGACATTAGAAAGTAGGTCACTGTCCCCTTGGGCAAGGCAAAATTTTGACCCAAGGGTTTAATTCAAACAATCTTGATACAGGTTCACCAAACAACATTTCATGTCAAATTTCTAAGCTGTAGTTTTCTCCAATTCAGAAAACATTTGTTTTAGTTTCATATAGATGATATTATATACAAAATATCAAAGCTCTAAGCCTTGCACCTTCAGACAAGAAGATTTTTAATTTTTTACTATATGACATAGCGACTGAAAATCAATGACCCCCGGGGCAGGGCCAAGTTTTAAGTTTTTACTATATACATAAAGAAAACCTATGACCCCGGGGCGGGGCTAAATTTGACGCTAGAGCCAAGAAGATTTTTAAAGTTCACTATAAAATCTATATAACACACAAACACACACACACAGGTGAAGCGCTATATGCCACCGCATCGCAGATTCTGCGGTGGCATAAAAATATCACAACTTTCGTGTGTCCTTATTACAATAATTATGTATTTGTTGGTAAAGGTCATATGCCACTTTACTGGTGGAGGAAAGACCTCAGATGCCCCTCTGTGCATTACTTCAGGTACAAGCAGACACACAAGTAGAATCACCAGCCTAACATAACCTGAAAGGCTTTGAACCAACAGTGTTGAGGAGCAAGTGATTTAAAGTAGCCAAACAACGTAAACCACTCAGCCACAGAGGCCTCTTCCTAAAAGCAATATAGGTAGTTAGTCCTACTCAATCCTCTAAATTCTATATGCAGACAGAAATCTTGATGTATGACTTTAATGAAGGCCATTTTTCTAACTAATAAATAAACAAGGTCTCCATGTGCAATTCAAATTCTGAGAGATTTAAATGAGGTAAGCTGCGAGATTTCTGCAATATACATTTTCAATAACATGAAAAATTAATACCATGTTTCAGGAAAAAAAGTTACATCCTTGCTGGTTGGAGCTGGACAATATAAATCATATAAGTTCCAAGTAAATAGAAAAGGCATCACTTTCTATACAAAAGTTAAATATACTTTCTGTAGAATAAATACACATAGAACAGATGTTATAAAATGGCCTAACAATAACCTCTATCAACAATTACATGACTAAGATTATTATGATTTTTTTCGTTTGTTTGATATTTTACCTTTTGCCTGGGTGATGTTTTCCCATCTCTCCCCTCTGCAAGAAATTCCTCCAAGGTAAGAAATTCAGGTGGCGAGGCTACAAGATTGTTTGGCTTGAACCCTCCCTTATCATCACTGATAGGCTGACCCATACCTGTAACACAGTCATTCATGCATTATAAAACTTTCTTTCTTTTAACTATTTACTTGCTGGTTATGACTTTATCTACCAATGATACCAGTACAGACCAAGATCTGCCAGCATATTCAGTCTGTCTTATCATGGTCTGCACTGTTCACTATTTTGTCAGGACATATTTCTTAATATTCCCTAAATGATGACAGATGGACGAGTCCATTTAAGATATTTAGCAGAGTAAAGATCAAAAACAAATTGTCAGAAAGAAGATTTTTATGTTATTTTAAGAAATTTATTGTATTAAATCTTTTTATCATCATAAAGAATAACCTACACACAAAGCTTTTATATGTGTCAAAGTTAACATTTAAAGGAAACAACACTACAGTAAATTATGATTTTATCTATTTTTTCAAGTTGTAACATATACTGAACCAAAAAAGAAACTTTCGCAAAGTATGTGCCAGTTGTTCAAGGGTACCACTTAGATGTGCACACTTATATACATGTAGTAGCTTGTAAAACTCGTTTTGTTTGCAAAATCGGTCAGCTAATCAGCGTATAAAAGCCCGATATGTTTATTCAACGTAAAATTCGAGTTTCAAAAGGATTGAAAAACTATACTAACATATCTACATTCAAACTTGGAGAAAGTTTCTTTTTTGTTTCAGTATATATTGCTATGTACCTACACTGTACACTTGTCAAATATCCTAATATTTCTTGTATAGTAGATTACAGCTGGAATCCCCCTACCCTTACTTTACATTTTTTTTTTCATTTCAGTTTTTTGTTTGTTTTTACTGTTGAATAAATTTAAAAATCTTCTTGTAAAGACCCAAAAGGCCTAGAGCTTAGATATTTTGCATAAGGCATTGTCTGGTAGACCTCTACAAAGATTGTTCAAATTATAGCCCTGGGGGTCCAATTCGGCCCCGCCCCTGGGGTCATTGAATTTTACTATATGTACATATAGTAAAAACTTAAAATACCTTCTTGTCTGAAGGTACTAGGCTTAGAGGTTTGATATTTGGAATGTGTTATTATCTAAAGATACTCTACCAAGTTGTTCAAATTTTGCCTCTAGTGTCAAAATCAGACCCACCCCGGGGGCCATAGGCTTTCCTTATATGTATATAGTAAAAAATTAAAAATCATCTTCTCTAAATTCACAAAGGCTAGAGGTTAGTATTTTTGCATGAAACATTGCGTAGTGAACCTTTAGCAAGATTGTACAAATTATAGCCCTGGGGTCAAAATTGGCCCCGCCCCGGGGGTCATTGATTTTCAGTACGTATTGAAAATCAATGACCCCCGGTCAATAGTGATACAGATGTCTATTAGACAGTGTTAATAAAAATAAGATAATACACAAATATATTAATATTCATGTTACACATTATAAATCAAACAATACTTTATTATTTAGTCCATTTGGAATCATAGTATTTAATTTATGGATCCAAAAAGATTCTTTACATAACCGGTCCATGTTGTTATCCATAATTTCTATAGGCAAAAATGAAAAATCTGACAAGGAACACTTATCGTTTGATCCGAAATGGATCGCAACATGTGAAACTGGATTTACGTCACAATTTCTTATATCAAATCTATGTTTATTCATTCTGCATGATACATTTTGATTAGTTTGACCTTCGTATTGCTTTTTACAGCCTTTACATGTAATGAGGTAAATTATATTACGCGTAGTACAGTTAACATCATTGTGTAAATCAAAAGAACGACCTGTTATGCTGCTATTAAATTGTGAACCAACAATTATATTGTTACAATGTGAACATCTACTTCGTAACATTGGCTAGATAAAAATATACGATCAAGTAAAGTACTTCTCATAAGATAATCTCGAATGTTTTTTAGGACGTCTATATGCTAAAATAGGTTTGAACTTGGTATGTATATTTTTAACGCTTTCCTTATCAAACAAAAGTAATAGATCCCAATATTTATTTAAGATTTCACCAATATTAGGCAGAGATGCATTAAAACATACAGTAAAAGGTATTATTGAACTAGTACTTTTAACGACAGAACAAAGAGCATCATTTTGGGACATGTCTTCAATTTTAGAAAACGCTTTCTCAATAATAGATTTTTTTTATCAGCATTGTTACTGTCACTTTTAATGTTATGCACTTCACTGTCACTCAGAGCATAGTCAGACATGATCACATCCTCGACTTCTTGGGCTGTACTCTGGCATGGAGCACAAGAATCACTATCCTTCGGAATATCATTCACTTTATCTGACATTGAGTCCACTTTGTTTGATAGTTGATGAAATTCTGAACTAAGCTTACTAAGCAGCAATGACTGTCTCTCAACACTTTGAAGTAACATCTTGTTGTCCTTAATAAGCTGGGTGTTTTGATTTACAAGGACATTCACCGTAGAAGTTGATGGAGGATTCTAATACCACTCGGGCGTAAAGCGCGTGGCGTCAATGGTGATGAAGGTTCCGTTGAAACAACAACGGGCGTGGTAGGCGTTGTTACTTCTTCAAAGCGAAAAGCACCTGTTGTCACTGGCGAAGAAGGCTATCCTGGCTGTGTATTTGGAGACACATGGTTCTCTTCTGTTGAAGGCACACTACACTCGGACGTCATATCACTTGATGACATATCACTTGACGGCATAGCCAGACGAAGTGGTTTACACATCTTTTTTTGGACATCCCCCTGTAGAAGTGACCTGAAATGAAATATACTTTTAAAATACTGCTTATACATAATGGCAATTTTTATAAGCATTTTATGTCGCGCTACGATCTCTATTGCTATTGCTGTATCTGGCTACTATGCTATTTAACATTCATGCATATAAAAAAAGTCATACGCTTTTGCGACTCCATAAAAATGGTTTTGTATGGCCGTGCATATTTATTATGAGGAGGTGAAATAGGTATATACTATAGGGCGGCAGTGACAATTGTTTTTATTTTTATAATAAATAAATAGATATTAAAACTAAATTCGTGTAATTTTATGTAACTATGTGAATGAATTTATCTTATGCTCGCTAGAGGCTTGCATTATTTAATTCTATTGAACTTGTCCAATTAATTCGCTCAATATCATTTATATACTTAACAAGAGGTTCGACTGTATGCACCCCTAGAACAATTTTATGGGATATCAAAATTAAAAGACATGGAAGAAAGAAAGAACGTTATGTAAGTGTCATGTACACACCTTTCTTTTTTTCTGTTTTCCATCATCTTCCAGCGTTGTTTTCATAGCAGCATTGCACTCGTCGCTGGTACCCGCACTCAGAACTTCTGCTGTGGATGCATCTTTTTTGGACAGGTCCCATTGAACAGTGTACATTGTACGTCTTCCCAACCGTAATCTGTTAAAAGAAGATACAATTGTTTAATATCAAAATATTTATAAAAATATAGATGCTGTAAAGGCTTATTCTCAGACAGTGTAGCTAAATTGATTTTTTCAACAAATTGTGTATCAGATTTTCATCGGACTGTTACATATATATTATAAACTGCAGTGAAACATTCACTGCCACTTGTGAAATATTTCCACTCAATGAAGAAAAAAAATCCTATATTTAATAATTCGAATAAAGATTGACGATGTGATGTGCCATCATCTATATCAGTTTCCTATGGGAAAGGGTCTTTTCATGTTTGTTTGTTTGATTGGGTTTTACGTCACATCAACACAGTATGTATCATATGGCGACGTTCCAGCTTTACTGGTCAAGTTATATCTCGGGTACCATTCCGTGCATTATTTATTTTTATTTATGATATGTTGTAATCACTGTATAACATTAATGAAGTTATAATAAAGAATAAAATATTATATGCTATTAATAACTGATTTAGCAGTATTAATCATATTTCTACTGCGCGACTTATGCAAAACGGGCTATTTTTGACGTTTTGTGTAATGCCATCTTAAATATCATGCCATTGCGTGACAAACGCAGAACGGGATATTTTCACGTTTGACGTTTTGTGTAATGCCACTTTGCGCAGATTTTCTTAAATTGCATGTCATTAGCTGTGTAATGTCACCGAACTTTGGGTGTAATGTCAAACTACTTGTAAAATACACAATTCGTGTGTCAAATTCATTCAATATAAAATGTTTGCAATCCTTATCAAAACCATTATATTTTGAGTTTTTGTCAAGTAAAATTAAGTCAAGTAAATTATAACGTCATACGTAAATAAACAGCTTGTATAAGGCGATTATAGGCAATGAAGGTGCGTAAATTTTGTGTTGCAAGGGTAGCATGACCGAAATATCGTAGATTGCAGTACATTTTTTGAAAAAGGCAGACATCTCACACACAGTATGGGAACCAGTAAAATCTTTATTTTTAAATAATAATTTTAAATATGAAATTCATGAAGTAATAGCAAAGGAACATAACATGTATTAAGTATACGTCAGACAGGTACCATGGCTGTTGAAATCGGAAGAAATTAAATAGTTGGTAAACATGAATTTAATTTGACGGCATGGATGTTGTCAAAGTGCTCCATGATGATGTATATATAATTATGTTGTATGTAAATAATTTTAAAATACAAACGTAAGTCACAGTTCAGTAATTTTTGATAAATGTGTTCGCTAGATATGTATATTTATGCTGACAAAATTTGGATGTATTGTTTAACAATACAAATGCAGCAGATGTATATGACATGTATGAACTTCCCGGACATCCCTCGTAAACATTTAATTGAATATCAGTGTTGAAATTAGCCTTATAGCCAAACTACTACAGTTATAACGCTGGAAACAGCATTGGTGGCACTTTACAAAAACAAATTGGTTTATAATCTCACAACCTTCACCTTTCTGACATTCTCTTAGACCCAAACAAATTGAGCGCCTTCTGTGCTTTGATTTTTTAATGTAAGGCAGATTCACATAAATATGAATTGTTTTCAGTTGCCGTTATAACATTAATTCAAAATATTTATTAATCTTAATTTGACAATGAAATATGGTCATAATGTCAATTTAAGTAATACATAATTCTCTTTAGCTTACCTTTTCGCCAGTGTTAAAAAAAACCTGCTGTTCTGACTTGCAATTTCTTGTCACAATCGTATCTCACTAGATAGTGAGTGTCTCTTTGACACCTGACGCAAAGCCGACATGGCTAAAAGTCCTATAATCACCAGTCTCTTATCGGCACAAACACTTTATTAAAAAACTTTTAAATCCAAGTTTATCGTTTTGAAACAAAATAACAAACACTAGTATATCCAAGTATTTCCCTTTGGACAAATAATAACAAACTTTTGAAATGCACAATTATAGAAATATACAGTCACAGATTTAAAGCAGAATGAAGGAAGGAAGATAAGAATGTTGTAATATTTAAGTGAGCTGTCTGTGACACGCAGTTCTCAAATTACTCTTACTCAAATTCTAATTATGAAAACTTATCTTTGAAACTTTAACACCTTGCTTTAATTAACATACCTGAAGACGTGAAATTGGCGAGAGAAAAAAAGACAACTAGTTATGACAACCGGTATTTAAATTACATGTGCTCACCTTTCTTTGTTTTTATATATTCTTTGAAAATGTACATTGTAACACCTGCTTAGTAATTATCAGTTTCAGTTTCAGTTTTTATTTGGCAAATCGGCATATTTTAACATACCTTAACATACCTTTGGCCAATTTAATAAATACAATTATATTAATTATCGTATTGAAATCAGAATTAAGTACAGGATTTTATTACGCATTTGAACTTGAGACAATGAAAGAAATATTTTGGTCGCAAATTTGTAACTGCATCTTTAGAAATGCCATTAAAACATAGTGTGGTTTGTGTTGAAGATTTAAAATAAATAGAACAACACAGCCATATCAATTTTATCTTTCCTTTGCAGACACACCCGAAAATAGAAATAAAAATTATAACCTAATATAATGTAATCGGACATGCTAACATGTTTTAAATAAAAACTTGTTAATCCAATTGATAAGCATATTACAAGTACCTTGTTATCGATGATGTATTTACGTCATTTTTTTAACAAACAAATATAAAAAAAATGCAAACAAGTAACGTTAACTATATGTAACATACGACATTAATTTAGTAAAAAAAAGGGAAAAACTGTAAAAAAAAATATGTAAGTACATTACTTATTAACCGATTATATTATTGATTTTCTCGGAGAAACTCCGAATTAGCGCTTTTACCCTCTCTAAAACTCCGCGATACGCGTTGCAGTTGTATTTCCGCGATTTAGGAAGTTGATTCGCGGAGAAACAGAGATTTGTCTCTCACGTCGATCGCGGAGGAAGCACAAAAAATGCACAATCCGCGCGAGCTGTACTGTATGCTCCGGACAAGCTTTAGCTTTAGCTTTTCCGGACAAGCCCACAAAAGTAACCCCTATATGTCGCCTTTTCAAGGCGACACAAAAACTGTACAACTTAAGCCTGTGATTTTATACAAGGTGAAAAATCACTGACACCAGTACAAATGTATATACATACAAAAATGCTCCATTAATAAGCCAACCAACCAGTAGAAATTCAAAACAATACTTCCAGATTACTGATATACTTACAGTTAGCTTTGGGTTGTGCCTGTGACGTTCCATAGTGACTTTTAGAGAAATCACCGCTAGACTGACCAGTCAGATTGTCATACACTAAAAACAATTAACAAACATCTCGTTTAAACCCTGAACCTCAAAAATGTTTATAATGATTTTTTAATACACTTTTTACTATATATAGTAACAAAATTGCCCATGATTTCAACTGATTATGAGTGTCACGTGAACGATTATGAGTTTGCGGCCCAGGGCTTTACCCTGAACCTGACAAATGTTTGTAAAGCTCGTCTCCTGCTTGAATTTGAATCAATAATAATATCAAGGAATTTCAATAATTAATCAAGGTGTACAATAATTGAGCTTCCGACATTCGAGTGTTGATTGTAAAACTGTTATAAGTCCTTCTTTATTTCATGTAAGTTACTGCAGTTTTATGGCGAAGGTAGTATTGAACGTCTACTAGTAAGCATTTAAATCACAAGATGGGACAGAAATTGAACCATCTACTTTTTGTTGTTTTTATTTGGGGTTGGGTTTTACATCACCCCAACACATGGTGACTTTTCTACCTCAACCTTCTGGGAAGTAGTTGGATAGCTTTCTCACAATAAAGGATTTCAAAGAACTTAGCAGAATTTGAACCCAAATCATGAGGCGTAAATACCATTAAGTTATGTACATATTTTTCATATTCAAAAGCATTTATTTCTAGTAATTATAAAAATGTTTGAACTTACTTTTATTTGTTCCATATTGTACATGTGAGCCATAGTTTTTCTGTTGGTACTTTGTGTTAGCGGAAGTGCCGGCGTGGGCAGCATTGGTTACCTGGGGCATCTATAACAATATTGGTATAGGGTTCATACATTTTACCTCAAACTTACACACTTTTTAAAAAAAAGCTATTACCACTGTTAAATGTCTTAAATTCATTTGCCCATCTTTAAGTTTAAATATAAACAGAACAGAACAGAACAGAACATATCTCTTTATTTCTTTCCCAGGGTATATGGTAATACAACATGGGGATATACTATATAAACAGATATAATATTATAAACAAACTTCCGATAGTACTTTATCAGCTGATGAATAGTGTTTTATTCAAAATAGAATGAAGATTCAGTAACATTTATAGATAAAAATGTTAATTTTGGGGGAATCCTTCAATAAAGATTTAATATGCACATTATTCATCTGATGATATAGTTCTTATCTATATAAGTATTAAATAAAAACAACAAGAGAAAAAAAAACAAAAAACAAAAAAACTAAACTTTTTTAATTGACTTATCATGGAGCAGAGACCTTAATGTTAATGTGTTCAAATCATTACTATGTTAAAACAAGAAAAGAAAGAAAAAAAAGAAAAGAAATGACCAATAGCACACTAGAGTGTTTTCATTAACATTTTTTTATGCTAGTTATCCTTTGGAAAAACATAAAAAAAAAACAAAAAACATTTCAATGTACAGTAAAACATAAACACATATTAAATAATATTCTATACATTAGACAAAATTTTGCATGTGATCAGCATGCTATATAGAGACTTTTAAGTCATAAATTATACTACATGTATTGTACTTTACAAAATTATAGAGAGAGAAAAATAAAATGAAGTGTGTTTTTTTTTAAGTAAGATTAATGATAGAGATAATTTAAATTCATATAAGTCAATATCAGCCTTTATCAAGGAGCATAAATAATAATCTTACATGTACGCCCCTGTAATCTTAAATCGTTAGCCTAAGTACATATACAATTCGCAATGTTAAATAGTTCGTAATAAAACACGTTTAATTAACAACAATAATGCTATGATTAATTATATTTGCTACCAATGAGTGCTTTGCGCAAATATATATTTTCTATGAACTGTTTAGATCAACTAAAAGATTTCTAGGGAAAAAAAAAATAACAATGTAATTTCTTTAAGTAGGGAGAGTTTGTGGGCTATGCACGTGAAAATCATGGACTTAATACATGTAATTTTACAACAAAAAAGAATGTCATTCATAATTTTGTGCAATATTTACATGGATTTATTACAAGGTAAAGTTCTTTTGTCTGAAAACGGTAGCTATTATAAATGTATACACAATGTCTAAGTGCTGTAAGATGATTACACGTTCATTTAGATAAAGATAAAAAGAAGAAAGAAAAAGGAACGCAGTTATTTCTTCTATGGCATAACTTATGCTAGTTAAATTTAGACATAATAATGCCGGTAAATTTACTTAAATTAGAAAGAGTATTTTCATTTCTACTTGATAATATTCTTGCAAAACAATGGACGGTATCTGAAATATAAGTTTGCTGTAGGAGGGAGTTTCTTTCTGTATTAAAGAATGGGCATTTAAGTAAATAGTGTTGTTCCGAGCCTATATCTCCGGAGTTACAGAGTCCACACGTGCTATCTAGAAAAGCGGTTCCCCGTCCCCAACGCGCTGTTTCAATTGGTAAACGATTATTACATGTACGAAATCTAAATAAGGTTATGTAGCTTTCTTTTGGGAGTATATTGAAATATGTCTCGTATTCTAAAGTGTTTTTAAATGAGCTGTAAATTCTACCTTTATTCGACGCTTGTAGATCATTATACCAACTTTGTTTAAATTGATCAATTAAAGTTTGTTTTACAATTTTGTGGATATTTTTATGCACTAAAATTTGCTGGTTTTGCCAAATATCAGGTCTTCCTACATTAACGAGAATCTCTTTAATTTTACTTGTCCATTTAAATTCAGTATCATTCCGATTTAACATGTAATTGTAAATTTTAACGGATAGTTTATTTTCATTTCCAAGCACTAAACGTGACCAAAAAGAGATCATTTTAGCATATACATTAATATAAATCGGATGTCTTCCAAGCTCACCGTTGAGCATATATTTTGGGGTGCTTTTCCTAGCCGACGTTATTCGTCTCATAAAGACGTTATGGATTTTTTCAAGTAAATCTAGATTTTCAAAACCAAAAATTTCTGACCCATATGTAAGGATCGGCATAACAGTGTAATCAAATAACTTTATTATTAGATCAGGGGGTAGGTCTGAGTTATTTGTTTTTGTAAATAGAAGGTGCATTGCTTTATTGGCCTGTTGGCTTATATGTTGCCTAGCTTTAAGGAATGAACCGGACGCAGAAAATGTTAAACCTAGATAATGGTATTTGTCAGTTATTTCAAGTTCATGTTCGCCTAAATTAAAATGATATGAATTTCTATTTCTAGCTCCGAATATTATTACTTTTGTTTTATTTGGATTAACAGTTAATTTCCATTGAATACAATACGAGTTAAAATAATTTAAACTATGTTGAAAATCGACAGGGTTATCCGAGACTATCACGGTGTCGTCAGCGTAGAGAAGAATTAAAAGTTTAAGCCAAGGTTCATCTAGCTCAATACCAGCGGCACCGTGTGCCTCCAGATATGTTTGTAAATCATTTAAATATAAAGAAAAGAGGATCGGACTTAAATTCTCGCCTTGTCGGACTCCTATTTCTGAAGAGAAGAATTGAGAATGTTGACCGTTATGCTTTACACAAGATTTAATATTTTGATACATGTTAAAAATTGTTCGAAATAATTTTCCATCGATAAGGTTTTGCGTAAGTTTCTGCCAGAGTCCAAATCGCCAAATTCTATCAAAACATTGTGAGAAGTCTACATAGGCACAATAAACCTTTTGTTTTCTTTTCCTTAAGATCTCAATAAGTGCATGGAGCGTGAAAATATGATCAGAACATGAATACGAGCTTCGGAATCCTGCTTGATTTTCATTAAGTAAATGTGTATTTTCAATATAATTGGTTAGTCTTAAGTTTAAGACTGCTGTAAATAGTTTGCCTAGACATGATAGAATGGTAATTGGTCTGTAAGAACTAGTGTCTAGAGAGTTTCCTTTGTTTTTATAAATTGGGATAATGAACCCTTCGAGCCATGATTTTGGAATAATGCCGGAGTTTAGTACTGAATTGAAGAGTTTATTATAGACAGGTAAAAGCAGGTCTTTGGTCGATTTAATGTGCTCATTTAATATATTATCCGTGGGACTGCAAGCTTTTCCGTTATTTAAATTTCTTATACATCTTAAAATTTCAGCATCAGAGATAGGTGCATCTAAATATTGGTTCGAATGTTCTAAAAAATCATGGGATAGAAAACGATCATCTTCCTCATCAATATAGGGGTTTTTATTAATATTTTTAAAAAAATTGTAAAATTCTGTGGTTGATGGCGTGTCATCAGCCTTTGATTTCGGTTTAAGTTTTTTAAGGAATTTCCAGTATTGCTTCGGGTTTTTGTCATGCATGTTTCTTAACAAGAACTGTCTTAGGCTATATCAATCATGACAATACCCATGAAAAGCTACCTGTATTAAAATCATTGACAGGTGATTATCAATTATCACTTCTTGGAAGATTATCTATATCAGACAATACAGGTGAAAAAGTATGCATTTTACCTAAATCAGATCAATGGTTAATGTGCACAGAATTCAGATTAATTGAATTTAATTGAATTAAATTGACAATTAAATGAAGAATTTCACAAAGTAATTAATTAATTACAATTAAAGTAATTGAGTTTTGGCTCAATTAACAAATATTTTTAATTATATGATTTTTCATACTTAATTGTAATTAATTAAATTATAATTGTAATTGTACCCATCCCTGCTGAGGCCAGTAAGGCTCGACTATTCGAAAAAGTTGTCACAAGGGTGTTTTATTGAGTATGATAATGCTTACCTATCAAAACATAAATTGACCAAAAAGGTACAAAGGCTTGTTATTAAGATGTTTTATCAAGTAAATCACTGCTTTATTATTATGAATGCATAAAATTGTCCCAAAAAAGGCACAAACCCTCCATTAATTGTTGAAAAAGGGGAGAAAAATCAGCCTAAATGCAAGATAGAATTATGGATCTTGGTCAGTGACCTACAATTATGACCCTAAATGCATATGTGAAGTTTTAAATAAATATCTTTAATAGTTATTGAGATATGTAAAACTTGCATGTAAACATTAACCAAGAGACTAAGTAGAAAAGGGGAGATAAATCAGCCTAAATGCAAGATAGAGTTATGGAACTTGGTCAGTGACATACAATGATGACCCTTCATGCATATGAGAAGTTTCAAATCATAATCTCTGATAGTTATTGAGATATTTGACTTTACAAAAATCTGATGAACATTGTTACTATAAATAAGTATTGTAAGTTTCAATTGAATATCTCAAGCAATAATTGAGATATTTGATTTTACTAAAAACTTTAACCAACGCAGAAGCCGACGCGGACGAGGACGCCGACGCCTGGGCGACTACAATAGCTCTCATATTCTTCGAATAGTCGAGCTAACAAAACCATACATCTTTTCACGAGGAAAATTTCAAAATACGTATTTGACCAAATAGTCAACAGTTGCCTAATGGTTAATAATCACATAAATATTGCATATAGAAAAGATTAACATAAGAAGACCATGATGGACCTGAAATCGCTCACCTGTGTAATAGACCCCTGGACCAAGGCCAATTTTAAACCAGGGGCTTTTATTTGAACAAACTTGGTAGACACCTACTAGAAGATGTTTCATGCTTAATATTTAAACTCTAGCTCTTTCGGTTTTCTAAAAGAAGATATTTTAAGTTTTTTCTTTCAGTTGCCATGGCAACCAGAGTTCTGCTTGGAATTAAATTCTTTGAACAACTTTTAAATTTGACTACGAAAGGAACATTCCTGTGAAGTTTGGATGAAATTGGCTTAGCGGTTTATGAGGAGATGTCGTTTAAAGTAAAAGTTTACGGACTGACGGACGAACGGACGCCGGACGAAAAGTGATCACAAAATATCACCATGTCACTTTGTGACAGGTGAGCTAATAAAAACAAAAGTTCTGCTGCTGGAGTGCAATACCTCAAAATTCATTCTTTAAAACTGATTTTAAAGACGTGCTGGTCAGATATGTCTTAACTTAGAAATATTAACATAAGAACATAAAAGAAATGCCTCACTACCAAAATGAAATGCCTCAAAGTTTACTCCTTATTAACTGACTTTAAAAGATGTGCTGATCAGATATGTATTTTAATTTTCTTTATGAATGATTTACCTTTATGCAGTTTGAATGTTTATTTTAACATTACAGTGTTGAAATAATTGCGATTTTTAAATGCAACAGATCCATTCTTCTATGTTGAAACCCCGTAAATTGACTTAATATCAAGTGTTTCGATGTTACTCGATCTAAAACTAATAACTTATCCATTGCTTGAAGTGATATACCAATTTGTAAACTTATAGAAACGATAACAAAAAATTTAAGGCAGTGACATTTACATTATGTCAGGAACGTAATGAACAACTCATTACAAATGTTATTAAATGTTTTCACAAATAACCGTTTATTGCTCACCTTTCACGTGTAGCTATAAATTGTTAATCAAGTATACATTCCTAAGATATAAAACCTTTTAATAAATACCGCATATCTTGAATGTCCCTGTGCATCTCCACTCTTCTTGTTTACATTCTCTTTCTTATAATCAGTCTTTGGAATACGCTTTCAATAGCACATTGTAAGAAATATTACGTCTTTGAAATAAGCTTTAGATAATGCTTAGAAAGAAATATTATGCAGTGTAAATTCTTTTTATATTAATCACATAATCGTTACATATAGAAAAGATTACTATATGATAAGATAAAAATACATGTTCCGGTGCTGGAGTGAAATATATACCTAAAAGTTAATTTTGATGACGTGCTGCTCAGATATATAACTCCGCATATATTCTGTGTTTCTTTACAAATGAAGGTGATTCAATAACCTCCTTTTATTGCAATGATAAAAAGCCCAATTAATTTTTTTTTTCACTAAATAAATGTGTAGCGTGTGAGCATTAACAAGCACACATTCCTTACATATAAAACTATACATATGTTCATATATACCGGATATATCGAATGTCCCCATGCACCTCCACTCTTCTTTTCTTCATTCTCTTCCTTATTACCAGCCATTGAATCAAGCTTTAAATAGAACACAGAAAGAAAATTACAATACGTTAGTTCTTTTTCATAAAAACATTGCATCTTAACTTAGAAATATTAACATAAGAACATAAAAGAAATGCCTCACTTCCAAAATGAAATGTCTTAAAGTTTACTCCTTATTAACTGACTTTAAAAGATGTGCTGATCAGATATGTCGCTCTGAACATATTTTATTTATCTTTATACAGTTATTAAAGGATATCGGTTATTTTCCTTTATGCAGTTTGAATCTTTCTTTTAACATCACAGTTGCTGAAAAAAATGTTTTGCTCATGAACCAATTATGGTATATTCAGGTCTACAAAAGCTAATGCAAAGTAAAAGTAAAAAAAAACAAGAGCCATATCCGGGCGGGGGCAACGCTCGTCCTTTTTGTTTTACTTTTTCTTTAAGCAAACAACTTACCGGTTTAAACAATCTTTAAAAAGAAAATTAAAGATGTAAGGTATGTATCATTTCCATTGATAAAGACAAATTTGAGAAAATATAAGTAAAATTTTATCATTTGACCGTCAAGGTCATTTTAAAGTCAGTGTCACATTTGAATTATTCAACTTGCCCGTATGGTCATCAGAGTTGCTTTGTCCACCTATGAATCAAATATGTACATAAATTACAAAATTATGACAAAATAACTAAAATTCAATAATTTGACCTTGATGGTCAGGGTCATTTAAAGCTGTAGGTCAAGGTCAGTTCAACATTTAAAAGGTCTTGTCAAAAAGGCTGTTTTGTCCAAGTATGAAATAAATTCCATGGATTGATAACAAAGTGCAGCCAATTATAGCATAAATCAGTGAAATACAATCACTTGGCCTCCAAGGTCAATGTCATACATGGGTCAATGTCAATTTGAGTTTGATATACATTAAGGTACTGACCTAAAAGATGTTGTATCTAAATGAAGTTAATCCATTAAATAACAAAATTATAGCTAGTTAGGCAAACAAAAAGATAAGTCCCTAATTTGACCTTGACAGTTAATGTCAATTAAAGGTCAAGTTCACATCTAAATTATTCAATATGTTTTTTCGTGACAAGTCTAGTTTTGTCTAAATATAAATGAAATCCGTACATAAATAACAAAATTATGACAATTTTACCAAATTCAATAATTTGACCTAGGTCTATAAATTGTCATGGTCAAGGTAAGTTCAACTTTTTATTAAGTCTTGCTTTAAAGGTTGTTTTGTCCAAGTATGAAGATAACTATTGATTAATTACCTTCCAACATAGAGTCAATTATAGCAAATATCACTGGAAATTCAATAATTTAACCTTTTAGTTCAATGTCATAAATAAATCAATGTTAATTTAAATTCAACTTTTAAATTTTCATGAATTTGACCTTTATCATTAAGGTCATTAAATTGTCATTTATAAGTGAATGTATGTCTGGTTCCCTTCAAGGTTTATCCTAGAAGGTTGTTATGTTCAAGTTTGAAGATACTCCATAAGTTTGAAGACACTCCATTCAAAAATAACAAAGTTATAGCAAAAGCAAAAATAAGCAATAAAAAAACAAGAAAAATTTAGACATTTGACCTTGAAAGTCTAGGTCTTTTATGAAAAAAAGGTCTAGGTTAGCCTGGTCTACTTGAAGGTCTTGTTGTGGTTAAGTACCAAGAACTTAAAAAGTGATATCAAGGCACACGTTTGCGGACAACAACGGCTACGGCAACGACAACGCCGACATGATTGTAACAATACCTCTATCAATTTTTTTAGTCGAGCTAATAATCAAATGATAAATAAGTAAAAGAAAGAGCATCGAAACACGAGGCTATCTGATTTGTACGAGGGGCGTAGCCGAGTGTTTTGATGTTCTTTCTCTTTTGTATCATAGTCAAACATAAAAACACGTTCCCTGATGTCATAATATGAAACCCCAGAAAAAATCAACCAATGAACGAGGATCTGAATATGATATTTCTGTCGCTTTCCGTTTTTCTGCCGTCACAATATGTAAACCCCAGAAAAAATGAGCCAATAAATGGGCATGCTCTGGAGTGCGGGTAACTAATACCTGCACAACAGTTAACGCACTGTGCATGTATATGTATACAATTTGACTCTGACACATTTTCCATTTTCAACAGAAAGGTCCCCAGACTATGATACAAGTAAATAAAAATGTAAAAATTTAATGTCTAATTCTACACTATCGATTGTAAAGAAATTTTAAAATAACCTGGTGAATTAAATCGATAAGACATTTCTAAAGATCAGCAAAAGAAAATCTTGCAACCAAGCTGTAACAAAAAGTGTTATTTTATAGTTACGTTATAGTATTGATTTCAGAATTGTAGAAAAATATATTTCTTAATCTTAATCAGAAATTTAATGTTCGAGTTATCATTAGTTATAAAAAATGGCTGACGTATTATATGGCTCGGCATAAACGACTAACTACGGGTGTTATTTTATATAACCAGAGAGCTAGGCTAGGGTTTTATCGCAGACAAAGTCAACCGTTTATACTACCATATAATATGTCAGACATCTCTATAACAAATTAATAATGCAGCAGAATCGCTTTTTAAGAACAAAATTAAAAATTACTCTTTTACTTGACATCAGCTGTGTATATATAGAATATCCGAGATCAACGTCACGATTATTAAATAAAAGGCGAAGTTACAAATGTGCATTATAATAAAATATAGTTTGACGCGTTACATAGAATATTTGCAGTTAAACTTTACTTACATTATGGATATGCCCATGTTTTATTGTATTCTTCTGTGGATATTCATATTCACTTGTAACCTTTGCACATAAAGGATCGTTTTCATTTTGCTTGTCACGAAAAGTCAATTTAATCATTTCGCGCAAGGCTTCAATATCACACTTTATTTCGTAATGTCGACTTTTTGTACATTCTTTAATCGTCTCCAACTCTCTTCTATACTCTTCTGCAGACAGTTCTGAAAGCTTAGCTTCAGTGAATAGTTGTGATATCTTCATTTCTGCTTGTTTTTTCTCAAGAACAGACTGGCGTAATTTTATGTTTTTTAATATTTCTTCACATGTTTTGAGAGAATCCTCTATATTATTTTCGTCACATTTACTAACATGTTCGACATTATCAACCAACCTATTGCATATGCTATCGAATTCATCTCTTAATTGCAATATGTGTTCTTTTGCATTCTTTTCATAAGTTTTAATTTTCATCTTGTCTACACTAAGTGTGGCAGAATATGTATTTATATCTTCTTTCAAGCTTTGAAGTGTTTCATATGTCTCTTTTACTTCTGTACTTTCTCTGAATTGGTTGGCTATGCCTGGTATATAATCAACGTCGTTGCACAATCGATGTTTTGTAGTAATACATACTGGACAACCTAGCTGAGAATGTGTCTGGCAAAAATATTCAAGTACTTTTGTGGAATGCTCAGAGCAAGGTTCGGTACATTCATAGTTCAACTGTTCTTTCGTTGTCTTTGATGATGGCATATTTTCTTTATCAAGGAGAACATGATGACGCCAAACAGCGGGACGGCGATGAATCTTGTAGCAAGATGCACATAAATATTCTTGGCAATTTTCACAGAAGCCCTCGGCCAGTTGTTCGCCTCCTTCGTTTCCGCATGGATCACAGTTGATAATAGCATTGGTTCTCTCCGAATCCTTATAACTGATGTCGTTCTCTCTTGATGTTCTTCCTGTCACTTCCATTGTTAAACTATTTGTAATGAACAGTATATATTGGAAATAAAGTTATTAAATTTGAAAGAATTTCAGAAATATTACTTGCATCTGGGTTATTTCATATACACTTAACATATGTTCTGAGTACTCCCCTGAACTAAAACATAAAATACATGGTGTTTTATACATAGAGACTTTGTCTTCTTTATTGTTTTGGTGTTTAAATAATGAAAAATGGCGTTTGCTGCGTCCCCGAGTATGATCGCTTAATACAGGTTATTAAAACGTGCAATACAGATTTTTTCGCAGAGTATGTATACCAAATAGTAAATTATATGTATGACGTGTGGACGTTAAGAAAAAAAACACAAGATTCCCTTGTGTCTATTACAAAAAGGGTATTAAGTGTTGGTCTGAATCCGGAGAATGTCGTAGTTCGCGCATTTCTTTGTAATAAAGTCTTTTTATATAAAACGCATGGAATCCTCTGCCATTTGTTGCTTAAGTGTACTGCAGGCAGTTTTCTTTAAGGAAGCAAGAATTTTAAAATACTCAAGAGATTAGCCGTCAAGTTTGAGACGGTATGACGCCGAGCAGGAAGACATGTTTAACATTTTACGTAGAATATCTATACCAAATAGGTATTTTTTATGACGTGTGGACGTTAGGAACGCGTCACAGCTCGATATACGAGCTGTGACGCGTTCTTAACGTCCACACGTCATAAAAATTACCTATTTGGTATAGATATTCTACGTCAAATGTTAAACATGTGTACATAATCTCTTGACACTTATAACAAAAATATCGTCTTCCGGTATGGTGATAACAAAAACAATATCAATATGTTTAGGTATTTCTATTGAACATGTTTAGGGCATTCAGTTACTCGTCTAGCACAACAAATTTAAATCATGGATTCCGAATTTATATCATTTAAAATATGTCGCCTACCTGGTGTAGTCTGATGAACTTGTTAGCCTTTCCATAGATTACATTGTATATAGATTTGTTCAACTTTCTATTTCAGAAATGTATTTTCCATATTTGGTTTAAACATATTTTATTTAGAACATTTGTACATGTGTAAATAACAACGTAACAATAATTATAGATTTTCCATATTTCTATTGAACATTTCACAAATTACAAATCAATAATCGCATTCAAGTTTTCAAATAAACTTGAGCTAGAGTAACCTATTCATTATTTATATTTTATCGATATTCTAAATGTAAACATAAACAGAAAATCGAAATATTAACACTATCGCATATTTTCGTCACATGATAACTCGATAAAGGACAATCGCATCTTCTCGGCCATTGAATCCGTCAAACTTCAGATAAGAATTGCCGTATGGTGGCTGATTTGTTCCATTCGTGTTTTTGTCCCGCGGTCAAAATGGCGGGAGCGCGGAGCGAAAACTCGCTAATAAGCGAGGGCGCGGGGCGAAGTTTAAAAAATAAAACTCCGCCGCGCGCCCCCGCTTATACATAAAACTTCGTCCCAAGGGGGGGGGGGGGCAGAGCGAGATTTAAGAAATAAAACGGCGGGGTCGCGGGACACAAACACGCTAATTAGCGATGGCGCGGGGCGAAGTTTGATAAATAAAACTTCGCGTGCGCCTACGCTTATAAGCGTGTTTTCGTCCCGCGTCCCCGCCAAACAAAAAGTCGATAATTAACAAGTTAAAATAGCGGAGGCGCGGAGCGAAAACACGCTAGTTAGCGAGAGCTCAGTTTAATAAATAAAACTTTGTCCCGCGGGGGTGCGGAGCTAGAATTAACAAGTTAATGTTGTTCTCTTAGCGGAATCGGCCAATGATTTACAGATTCTATTAGATAATCTTAATATGTGGTGCGACACAAACAATATGACTGTAAATTGTGAAAAATCTAATGTCATACATTTTAGAACGGGAAGCACAGCTTTAACATCTTTTAATTTCAAAATTGGGGACAGTCATATTGATGTTGTTCATAGTTACAGATATTTGGGCGTTGTTCTCAATGAATTTTTAGATTATGCTGAAATGGCTAAGTCTATTGCATCGTCAGCTGGAAGAGCACTGGGTCTTCTCATAGCAAAGAGTAAATTGGTGGGGGGTTTTCAGTATACAACATTCACGAGGTTATATGATACTACTGTTTGGTCTGTTCTTAACTACGGTGCTGCAATCTGGGGTGACCGCTCATTTTCATGCATAAATGCTATCCAAAATCGAGCAATGAGATATTTTTTAGGAGTTGGGAAATATACACCTAATGCAGCGGTTATTGGGGAAATGGGCTGGAAACCATCATCAGTTAAACAGTGGGGTTCTGTAGTCAGGCACTTCTGCAGAATGTCAAAAATGGATAGTGGTAGAATTAACCAAAAAATCTTTGATTGGGCAAGACGGAGTGCTTCTTCCAGATGTAAGAACCAGTATTTTAGAATATGTAAGATGTTTAGAAGTATTGAGATAAATATTAATGATGTACATGTTTTTAGTGCTAAGAGAATAGTTGAAATGGTCGAGAACAAGTTACGGTCAGTTGAATTAGATAAGTGGAAACAGTCACTAAATAGGAATGATACCAATAGAAATACTGGTGGTAATAAACTTAGAACATATAGTTTGTTTAAAGATACTCCGGTTGTTGAAAAATACCTCAAGTACAATTTACCCTTCCATCATAGAAGTTCTTTGACAAAATTTCGTTGTGGTGTTGCGCCTATCCGGTTAGAGACAGGCCGTTATGAGAATTTACATGTAAATGATAGAACATGTTTCAATTGTACCACAAATGTTGAGGATGAGATTCATGTAATTTTACACTGCCCAGTATATAATGATATCAGAGAAGATTTGTTGGTAAAAATACGTCAAATTAATACTGTATTTGATACTCTGTCTGACATGGAAAAGTTATGTTATGTACTAAACAACTTTGAAATTGTTAAATATTCTGCCAAAGCCTGCTACCAAATACTGCAACTTCGACGTTTAAGGCTGTATAGGAGATAAATTTTTTACTTTAACTAATCTAGTCATTAGTGGTATTTTTACTGAATTTTATATGGTTTTTTTTTTTTACATGTTTTTAACAATACAAATTGTTGTAAATACATGTATATAAGTACAACAAGTATGAGTATGGTGCTTTTAAAGTTCTTTTATCAAGATATTTTTTATGAATAGGTTAAAATAGGAATATTGCTATTGATATAGAAAACATGAATGAAATTGTATGGTTTTAATGCCTATGTGGTATAATATTGATCTTGCCAATTTAAAAAGCAGCCTGGAATTCCCAGGTATACAGACTCCTTCAAAGTATTGTAATAAAGGAATTTATTATCATGAATTTTATATTTAACTTTTAAGGGTATTAGCTAAACGATTTTATGAATTAAAAAGTATTAATACACAAGGTTAGCTCAAACAACAATTATTGTCATAGTAATATTATTAATAGACAGACAGGCACAAACTTGACCTCTTTGATCATATACATATGTAATTCATGTTAGATTGTGTCAAAATATTGACTTTTTATTCTTAAAAAGTAGATATTTTAGAGATTATTTTAATAGTTTTACAGTCTCTTATAACTCCTTATGTAGGAGTGGCTTTGTGTTGTGTAAAAATGCTGTGTTTTACTTCTTAAATATATGTAAAGATGCACATAGATGAGACTTAAATAAAAAATATTTGAGTTGAGTTGAGTTAAAACGGCGGAGTCGCGGGACGAAAACACGCTAATTAGCGAGGGCGCGGGGCAAAGTTTAATAAATAAAACTAATAAGCGTGTTTTCGTTCCGCGACCCCGCCAAGCGAAAAGTCGATAGTTATCAAGTTAAAATGGCGGGGGATAAAATAGTGGGGGCGCGGAGCGAAAGCACGCTAATTAGCGAGGGCGCAGTTTAATAAAAAAAAACTTCGTCCCGCGGGGATGCGGAGCGAGAATAAACCAGTTAAAACGGCGGGGTCGCGGACGAAAACACGCTTATTAGCGAGGGGGCGGGGCAAAGTTTAATATGATCCTTCTCTTGTTAATAATTACCGACCAATATCTCTCATAAGTACTGTCAACAAAGTCTTTGAAAGAATCGTATTTAAACACACATTTAATTTTCTGCGTGATAATAATATCATTACATCTCTTCAATCTGGTTTTGTTCCCGGAGACTCCACTGTCAACCAATTAACATATTGATATAATCTGTTTGCACAGGCCATTGATTCTGGTAAAGAAGTCAGGGCTGTGTTTTGTTACATCAGTAAAGCGTTTGATCGGTTCTGGCACAAGGGACTTATTTATAAATTAAACTGTATCGGTATTTCTGGCCGTCTTTCCTCTTGGTTTTCTTCTTATCTTAAGGACAGAAGACAAAGAGTTATTTTACCAGGTTGTAGATCTTCTCTTAACTTTATTGCCGCTGGTGTGCCACAAGGGTCAATTCTTGGGCCTTTGTTGTTTCTTGTTTATATAAACGATATTGTTATCGACATCAATGCCAATATAAGACTTTTCGCCGACGACACCTTTTTATTGTGGTCGAAGACCCCGTGACTGCTTCAACTATCCTTAATTCAGATCTTGATAAGATAACTTCTTGGGCCGAACAATGGTTGGTAAAATTTAATCCCATTAAAACAGAATCACTAATAATAACACGAAAACAAACCAAAATGCAATCCATCCACCTATCTTTATGCATGGCACACAAATAAAAGAAGTACGCATTCATAAACACTTGGGAATTACTTTCGCTCATGATTTAAGATGGTCCACTCATATTGAATATATCACAAATAAAGCTTGGAAAAGAATAAATGTTATGAAAAAATTAAAATTCCAACTTGATAGGAAAACATTAGAAATAATTTATCAATCTTTCATAAGACCGATTTTAGAATATGGAGATGTGCTTTTTGATAATTGTACGCAAAGTGATAAAAAGGACCTCGAACAAATTCAACAAGAAGCGCTAGACAACCAACTAAGCTCGTATCAATCGATAAACTTATGAATGAAATTGGCTGGGAATCCCTAGAAAAAAGGAGACACAAACATAAACTTATTCTATTTTTTTTTAATGAAAAACAACCTTACACCACATTATCTTTCTGATATTGTCCCTCCGTCGATTGGCAGTGAGCACCGTTACCCTCTCAGGAACGCGGACGACATACAATATATCCGTACAAATACAGAATTTTACTATAAATCATTCTTACCTTCTGTTATTAGGGATTTCAACTCTCTTCCACCTCAAACACAAACTGCTACAACATTAACATCATTTAAGCGACTTCTTAATATTGATATGCCAAAAGTACCTGCCCATTTTCTATGCGGTGAGCGTAAATTACAAATTTTTCACACAAGATTACGTACTAACTGCAGCTCTCTTTCTGCCGATTTATTTGATAAGAACATTACCGACTCTCCTTTGTATGAATGTGGTGCGAGAGAAAATGCTTATCACTACTTTCTTGAATTCCCTAAATATACTAACCTACGACCTGAATTAATAAGTACTATATCTCAATTTTGTAATCCTTCCATCAATGTCATTCTTACTGGTTCCACTACTTTACCTTATGATTCTAATGTATCAATCTTTAAATCAGTTCAAAAATATATCCGAGATACAAAACGATTTTAGCGTACTTAAAAACCAGAGATGTCTTAACATATTTGACATTTACTAGATAATGCATCTTAGTTCCTCGTTATTGTTCCATAATTGTTCATTCATTTCTTCCTTCCTTTTTCTAATATCTTTTTTTCTTTAAATATTCAGTGTTTATCTATTGTGCGTATCTGCTTATATACAGCTGTAAGCAATCAAATAAGATATAATTTTTCTTCTTCTTACTAAATTCTAAAACAAAACAAAAATACTAAAATAGGTGTTTGTCTATTTGTACTTTTTTGTGAGTTGCTTTATTCTTTAATCATTTTTTTCTCTTTTTTTTCTCCTTTTTACTGTTTGCTCTTACATATGTTACATTGTTAAATACTTAACTCTTAACTATTATGTGAATGTCTTTGAATACTTCAACTAACCGTTGTGTATGATAATGCCATGAACTGTGTTATTGTAAATTATTATAACTGGGAGAGGACATTCATAAGCTTTATAGCTTTCTTCCCAATCCCAAAATGTACTTTGTAAATATTGTTCACTTGTTTAATGTTTTGTTGAATAAATATGTTTAAACCAAAGTTTAATAAATAAAACTAATAAGCGTGTTTTCGCTCAGCGCCCCCGCCGTTTTATTTCTTAAATTTCGTCCTGCGACCCCGAGGGGCGAAGTTTTAATTATTAAACTTCGCCTCGCGCCCCCCGCTAA